TTTTGGGGGATAAGGGACTCAGTGGGGATTCAAGGGTGATGAGAGCATGATGCGGAGTAATATGATCTAAGTGTGTTTGCACAATAGTGAAAGAATAAGTTGAAAGACTACATCAACTGAGAATATTGTGAAAATATTACAACAAAAAAGGCACCTATGAAATTTGCAGTGTAATCCTCCTACAGAAAAATGCTTTATTGCATTTGTTATTAGTCATTCATGAAACATGTTTAATTACACATGAATGTGTTTATGTTCTGTAGTGACATATTAGGAAATAGGCAAATCCTAGGGGGTCTCTGTTTACCTTCTCTTCCTCCTTTAGACTTCAAGTTTAGCAGAATTTCCAAATTCCTTTTCCTAGCATTGCTGTTCTGTGATAAGATGAAAGCACTTTATTCACAGAGTTTTTTTTATCATCAAGTTTCAGCCCTGGGGACTTCTCTTACACTGAGCACTTGGGAGAGAACTTTGACCTGAGCAGGTGCACAGCAACTTGGCCTCTACATTTTGCTCATGTGTTATATAGGGGGATTGATATATAACGTTAAGCAATTTTCAAAATGGTTGAAATACTGTGTTAAGATTTTTATTCTATTGTATGATGTATGTACATATTTCATTTCCTCAATAATATTGATGTTTCTTTCCTAAAAACCTGAATTGCTTACTCTGAGAAAAGATAATTTTAATAAAAGACTACAAATAAAATTTCTTAATCTTCATTTTTTACACATATTTTTTTATAAATTCTGTTTTCTCAAATTCCAAGATTTTAGTTGTTTTGAAAATTACCATTAAATTTAGATGATATTGTGTAACAGATTTCTACAGGTTTCAAAAACTAAAAGAATTTTCATACATTGTTTTATTCAATTGATGATATTATTCTAGAAAGAATATCCAGATTTGTCCTTGGGACATGTAGACCTTGAGCCTCATCCGAATATGGCTCCAGTATAGTCTCGTATATCTTTGAGTGACTTGAATAGTTTTGTTTTAATCAAATTATATTTTAGTATGGTGTATGTGTGTGCTCTATGTATGTATGTACAAGTATATTTTCAGATGCACACAGCAGAGGGCAGAGCAGAACTTCTGATGTCTTTCTCTATCACTCTCTGTCTCTGATTTACTTATAGAGGGTCTTTAAGTGATCCTGCATTGATTTTTGTGCTGGCTGGCAAGCATCACCAATTCTTCTATCTCATTTCCCACCAATGTAGGAGTTGCAGGCATGTGTTGAAGTTGGAAACAAGTACAAACCGCCTCACTTTTGATATGGGTACTGTGAATCCAAATCTAGTTGCTCTGGTTTCTGTAGGCAACATTTAAAGCCAGTCATCCCCCTAGCAGACCCATGCTCACTTTTGAAAGCATTTTAAAAGTGAAATACAGAAGGAATGCATATAGTCTTCCCATTAATCCTTGGTTTAATGACTTATCCCTAGCTTAAAATATTTGATGAATTCAATAAGAAATATGATAAACAAAAGCATGCCTTTGCACTGATTATATACTGAACTCATTTGTCCCTGACCCTAAATACTTATATAAGTCAGGGTTCTTTATACTGACAGAACTTATGAAATGAGTCTCTATCTATCTATCTATCTATCTATCTATCTATCTATCTATCTATCTATCTATCTATCTATCTAGGCTAGCTGTGAATAGAAAGTCTAAGAATCTAGTAGTTTCTCAGTTCTAGGAGGCTGTGTATCTGAGCTGGTCTTCTGTATGTATATTCTAGAAATCCAAAGAAGTAGGTCCTAATACCAGTGAAGGAAAAGATTTGCTCACAAGGTGAGGGCAACCAAGCAAAGAACTAGCATCCCTTCTTTCCTCCATTGACATTACATAGGCTTCCAGAAGAAGGCATGGCCCAGGTTAACATTGTATCTTCCAGTCTTAAGATCTGGATTAGAGGCACATGTCATCCTACATCAAGATCTACATCAAAAGCCTGTGTCTTCCAAACTCTACATCTGGAAGGAAAGCAATATTGTGCCATCAAAATCTACCCTTTGTTGACTTGACACACAGTCATATTTCCTTATGTCATAATTAATTTCCAAATGAAAAATAATAACTTTGTCATAATAATGCCTAATTATAGCTATTCCATTTTAAATTGCAAATGCATTATATGTGTAATTATGTCATAGTTAGGTTTAACTTGATATAATTATCCCTCATACAACCACAAATGCACTATAAATTTAGAATAGTGATAATGTCCCTTGAAAAACATTCTTCTATTAGCTTAAATTTAAACATATTTTTGATTGGTGTTACAGCATATGATGAGGAAATTATAAGAAAATAGAAATATCTGTACAAATACATTTTTAGCAATATACAACAGAAACACTCATGCCTATTGCAATCTTTTTTTGCATCTGGACATGTGTCCTTTGATGGTAATTAGAACTACCTTCCTCTAGTACCCATTCTGGATTTCCACCACCTCATACATGCACTTTCAGCAGACCTCGGCTCTTTTCCTGGAGGTAACCATACCTTCATTCTTGATGGGTCTGTGCTCTTTGCTTTCTTGCCTGGGTTGGACTGTTGTAGTTTCCCATTAACTTTAATCATAGGGCACAAAATCACCAAGAGATGCCCTAAAGGTTCTTCAGATAGAATTCTTCTTATGTCCATTGTGGAGATCTGATCCAATTTCCACATGGTAATCTGGACCTATCACCCCTCCTAATACTGTTATTCCTTTCTTAGACTATTGGTTTATGGGCATTAGTAACCCAAAATAACATAGGGAAGTCTGAGTTTCCACTTCAATGAGATGTTTGTTATCACTCCAGGCGGAAGCATTTCCTCCTCTGGAACCAAAACTTCTAGGTTAGCAGAATTTAGGGTTGTGGGAATAGGAAATGAAAATTTTCTGTGAGTCACTAGGGATAAAAGTGAGTGGAACTATTCTCCTTTGCACATCTTGATTTCTGGGCCCAGGGTCCCTGACTATAGGAGAAACTGTACCATATATCAGACATTGATTCAGAGCAAATACTGCCTTCTCAATAACCCTGGCCAGCCCTCCAAGATGCTGCCACCTAATTGGTACTCTCTTTGTTTCTTCAAAATGCCATTGCAACTTTTTATCAATCCAGTTGCTTCAGAATGGCGGGGAACATTGTAAGACCAATGGATTCACTTCTCTGGCTGTGAAGTGAGTTCCCATGTCAGAGGCAATACTGTGTGGAACACCGTGGTGGTGGGTCAGGGATTCTCCAAGTCCATGGATGGTAGTTTTGGCTGAAGTATTACATGCAACAAAGGCAAATCCATAATCAGCATAAGAATCTACACCAATAGAGACAGAGTTTATCCTTTCCACCAAAGAATTTGTCCAATATTGCCATCCTGTCACTAGATTGTTGGCTGGACATCAAGAAGAATTGTGTCATATCTGGGCCTCAGTTTGGTCTCTGCTGTTGGCAGACCCAGCACTCAGCAGGAGCTGTAGTCAGGTAAGCCTTGGTGAGTGGGAAACTCTACCTGTTTGATTATGGAATTCCTCTTCATCTGAAATCACCTATGGTGAGCATTTATATGGTACCCAAGTATCTTCACATCTTTTGCCCATCGGGAGAGATCTATCCACAAGCCTCTCCCCAAGATGTCTCTCTTACCAATTTTCCAATCATTCTTTTAGCAAGTGCCTGACTATCCAGTCATTCCATTGGCTACAGTCCATGAATCAGTGAACAATTGTACATCTGGTCATCTTTATTCCCAAACAAACTGTATGACCATGTGTACTGCCCAAAGTTCTACACACTGTGAAGATTTACATTCACCAATATCTTTCAAGACTATCCCAGAACCGAATTGTAATAATGTAGCTGTCCATTTCTGTGTGGTGCCTCTATAACATGCAGAACCATCAGTAAAACAGGCCCTACCTAGTATTTTCCCCAGCCAACCAATCATAGAGAATGTCTCAATATTCTTGGCAGCAGTTGTAACTTTAACAGGAGCTGAAACCATTGGCATTTGGACAACTTCTTCTCATGGTTTATGATGGCCATCAAGACCTGCATGGGCCTGATCTTATGTATTATCACTTCTGTTTGATAATAGATTGCTGCTCTATATATCCTAATTTATGACTTGGTGAGTCTGATGAAATACATCTCATGATGGGAAGTTTGGGGTGCATAGTAATTTGATGACCCATTGCCAAATGTTTAGTTTCCACTAAGGTCTGAAAGTAGGTCCAGAGTTGTCTTTTAAAGAAAGAATAGTTGTCAGCAATTGATGCTAGAGCCTTGATCCAAAATCCTAAAGGTCTCTTTTGTGATTCACTTATAGGGACCTTCTAAAGTCTCCTAAGAGCATCTCTATTTGCCACTGACAACTCAAGTAACAAAGGGTTTGCTGGATCATATGTTCCAAGCAGTAGTACAGCCTGGACCTGTTGAAGGTCCCACACAAAGCTAGCAGCGTTCAAAGTCACTTGACATACAGGCCAAAGTTACACACACAAGTGGGGAATGTGTTGTCTTCAGAATCCAAATAGGACCACTAAGCTTTGTGCTTCTTTCTTGGTGGACAAGGTTCAATAACATATCTTTCACCTTAGAAGGAATATCTTTTTATGTACCCATACCACTAGACCCCTAAGAATTTCACTGAGGTAATGGGTTCTTGAATTTTTTGTATTCATTTTCCATCCACTGACATGCACATTTGTTACCAATGATTTCACATGGTCCAGTCAACATACTTTCATCAATATAGTGAACCAATGTGGTATTTTATGGAAGAGACAGATGACCAAGATCCCTTTTAGCTAAGTCATGATACAGGTCAGGAGAATTAATATATCTCTGAGACAAAACTGTAAAGGTATGCCGCTGACCTTGCCAACTGAAAGCAAACTGATTCTGGTGGCTCTTATGGAGAGCTTCATCAATAGTTACATAACATATATCAGGAAGTGTGTTAATTTGCTCAACTAAGAACGTTGCGTTTGGAAGTTAGTGATAGGGGCCTGCGGAAACATGAAGAGGATAAATAGCTGTGTGAAGAATGAAGAGCATGTCCTGGAGAAGTTGGAAACAGAAGGTGAGAGGCAGCTGAAGAGCCTCCTTCAACATCAACTTGATACCTCTGTCTCCATTGAAGAATGTGTCTCTAAGAAAGAGAGCTTTGCCCCGGGTACCATGTACAAGCCCTTTGGGAAGGAAGTAGCCGGGACAATGACTTTATCCCAGTTCCAGACACTACATGAAAAAGACCAGGAAACTGCTTCTCTCAGGGAACTAGGGCTCAATGAAACAGAAATACTGATCTGGAAAAGCCATGTTTCAGGTGAAAAGAGGACGAAGCTGAGGGCAACCCCTGAAGCAATACAGAAACGGCTTCAAGATATTGAAGAAAGGATCTCAGAGCGCCAGCGCATCCTTTGCCTGCCACAGAGGTTTTCAAAGAGCAAACAACTGACCAGGCGAGAAATGGAAATTGAAAAGTCTTTATTTCAGGGAACTGATCGTCACTCCTTCCTTAAGGCTCTTTATTACCAAGATGAACCCCCAAAGAAGAACAAAGGTGATCCCATGAACAACCTGGAAAGTTTTTACCACGAGACTATAATGAAAAAGCGTCTTGAAGAGTTCCAACTTATGAGAGGTGAACCCTTTGCTTCCCACTCACTGGTCTCAGCTACGTCAGTGGGTGATAGTGGCACAGCTGAGAACCCATCACTACTCCGGGACAAGGGAAAGCAGGCAGCACAGGGTAAAGGCCCCAGTCTCCATGTGGCAAAAGTTATTGATTTTCCACCTGAGCAGTGTTGGACTGGGCCTAAGAAGCTGACGCAACCAACAGAATTTATCCCTGAAGATGAGATCCAGAGAAACCGTTTATCAGAGGAGGAGATCCGAAACATCCCTATGTTTTCTTCATATAACCCAGGGGAACCAAACAAGGTATAGGCCAAATCAAGAACACAACATGGGTTGTTCTCACTTTATTTACCTCTACCAAACAGGGCATTAAAATTACCTTTGATTATGCCAAAGGGAAAAAAAAAAAAGAACGTTGCATTTGGAAGAGCAGCTGCAATCAGAGTTACTACCTGATTGACCTTTTGGTAGTCAGCTTCATTCCTCTCATCCCTCCTGTCTTCTGCACTGGCTAGACAGGAGCATTAAAGCGAGTTGTTGGGGGAGCACCACTCCTGCATCTCTTGAGTCTTTGATGGTGGCACTAATTTCTGCCTTTCCTCCAGGTATGTGATACTTGTTTTGATTTGCTATTTTCTTTGCCAGAGGCAACCATAAAGGTTCCCATTGAAGCTTTCCAACCAAAATAGGCCTCACTCCACACATCAGGAAACAACGTCAGAAAACTGTCAACTTCTAAGTATCTTAATTATACATTCTGTAACGGGGAAGAATCACAGGATGTGTGTGGTGACCGACTGGACCTACTATGAGTCAGATATCGGCAAAATATCCATTAACAATCCAGCCTCCATAGCTCCTTATTTTAACCGGGGAGGGTCACAATGTTTTTTTTGTTTTGTTTTGTTTTGTTTTTGGATTTCCCACAATCATTGTCAGTTCAGAATCAGTACTCAACAGTCACTGGAAAGTGTGATTGTTTCCTCTCCTCCAGTGTAGTTACCCTTATAAAAGGCCATAGGTTCCTCGAGAAAACTGGAGAAAGGCTGACTGTAAAACTTTAGGTATCTTACTTTAGGTTCTTGTTCAGCAAAAACCTTCATTCAAGGAGTTCTGGATCTGTAAACCAGCTCAAGTCTGGACACGGATTTACTGTTTGAGATTGTCTTTTGACATGATCCAACACAGTCTGTCTTTAATTTGTTTGAGAATCTTTTGGCTTGTACAACTCAAAAATAAATACAGCAGACTTCATATCTATTTTGTTCCTGAAAATACCATGATTGACTAGCCAGGACAAAAGGTCCACAAGAGTCATGCCTCTGCTGACCATTATGAGTTAGGTCATTATGAACATCGTTTTGTATAGGTTGCCCATTATGATCAGTATAACCACCTTGCTTCTGGCAATTCAGTGCTGCCATATGGCCCCTAGTACCTTGGTGCCCAATTAAATACATTGCATTTAATTTACTCAGTTGAGCATCAGCATCTCCAGCCCTAACGACTGAAACAAGGAAGAGGTCAACGGCAAAGCTTTTCAAACTTGCTGGTGCCTCTCTCACCATTGTGCCTCTTATAGGATTCACGAAGGAACTGTCTTCTGTGCCTTCCCATTGTGGATGACTGGGTTTTACACAGTGTACCCTCTCTAGCATTGCACTTTGCAATTTCCCCGAGCCTCAAAATCTCTTTTTCAACAGTAAACCAAAGGATATAGGGCATCTCCAACTCCTTTTCAATAGGTCTTTTTTGATAAAAGTATCAGTCAACCATTCAAGCTGGCTTTTCACACCATTTTTTAACTGTGTGAGCTTCCATATTAAACCTAGAATCTTGACTCAGAGGACCTATATCAATAAACTCAGCCTGATTTAGTTTAATGTTCCTTCTGCCATTATCCCATACCCTTAAAACCTATTCCCATACATATTCCCTAGACTTCTTCTCAGCTTAAATAGGATCCTCCCACACCTCCCATCCCGAGTTATACCATTTCATTCTTTAACAATTAATGCCCTTACTTTAACTGCTGACCCCCTTTGAGGCTAAGACTTTAATTTTCACTATGACTCAATCAATCTTAAAATGAGGGCTTCAGTTTGATTTTCTAACTCTTGAGCTCTGTGCCTGCTAAACATAAGATTCTCTTCCAGGGCACACTTAGAAATTTTGGACTGTTTATTGTCACCAGTAGCTGGACTAGTTTATCACTAAATTCATTATTGTCCTTTACTGTATTCTGGTATTATGAATTTGATTAATTTCATTATGGAGCTTCTTCTTATTCTTTAGCAATTTATCCAGAGTAATTAAGAGAAACTAGCATAAACATTTCCCTCAAAATTTTAGCAGTTTCATATATAACACCAGTAAGTCCATTGCTACTCACTATTGATGAATTGAGAGGATCAAAGTCATTTATCGCTTAAAGTTTGAAATATTGTTTATACCATGAGTTTTCAGTACTTTCCAGACTACCAGGAGAAAGAGTGACTGAGAATTTTCAGTAGCTGAAGGTCCTGGTAAATTAAAAAGCCCATTCCAGACACTCAAAAGATTCATGCTTAAATTTCTGTCTCTCTAGAACCATTCTGATACCAAAATTTGTATTCATCAGGGTTTTCTAGAGTCACAGAACTAATGGGATGAACCTGTAATCTCTCTCTCTCTCTCTCTCTCTCTCTCTCTCTCTCTCTCTCTCTCTCTCTCTCTGCCTATCTGTTAGCAGATGCTTCTTTTCATTCCTTGCTGCCCAGACCCTAAATAATCACATAGAAACTGTAATAAATAAAAGACTGTTTGGTTTATTTCTAGCTAATCTTATATCTAAAATCAACCCATCTCTATTAATCTGTGCATCATCACAAGGTTGTGCCTACCAACAACCTTCCAGCAGGCATCATTCTTCTGCGGCAGCTACATGGCATTTCTCTGACTATTCTTTTCTCCTCTATTTGCTTGGAATTCCCACCTTGTTATATTCTGCTAAACCACTGACTGAAACAGCTTTATTTATGAACCAATAAAAGCAACACATATACAGAAGGACTTCCCACACCATCTGTCTGTCTGTCTGTCTGTCTGTCTATCTATCTGACTTTATTGAAATTACTAATAGTTCAAGAATCTAGTAGTGTCTCATTTCTATGAGGCTGTGTATTTCAGCTGCTCTTCTATATATGCTGGAGTAGTGAAGAAGTAGTTTCCAATGCCAGTGAGGGAACATGTGCTGACAAAAGGAGGGCAAGCAGGCAAAAAAAAAAAAAACTCCTTCCTTCTTCCACCAGAAGGAGTGATCCAGATTAAAGATGTACCTTCCAGCCTTAAGGTCTGGATTAAAGGCGTGTGTCATCCACTTCAATATCAAGAACAAAAGCCTGTGTCTTCTTGCCTCAGGATCCTGATCAAAGGCATGTTGTCTTCTTTCCTCATGATCTGGACAATGACCCAGGACACATAAAAGTATTGTGAGTAATTTTTGCTAGGTCAGTTAGATGGCAGACTGGGAAAATATGTTGTCACAAGCCTGACCACCTGAGCTCACGTTACTGAACTCAAATGTTCAAAGGAGAAGACTGATTCCCAAAATGTTTTCTTCTGATATCTCCATGTGTACTGTGCCACCATAAATGCTTTTAAAAATGCACAACTGCATGCTGAAGAGAAATCTCAATTGGCAGTGCAATTGCTGTGAAAGTATGCATATCCAAGTACCATCCCCAGAACCTAGGTAAAAATAACTGGGCACAGTGACATACACTTGTATTTCTAGAGCTGGAGAGGTATACACAAGAGAATCCCTGAGGCTCAGGGGTCCCAATTAGGCTAATATCCAATTAGTGATTCTGTTTCTAAGAATAAGAAGGAAAGACACTGGAGAAGAGAGCCAGCATTGCTCTGTTTGCCACATGTACATGCATACACGTGCACACACATGAACAGCTATCCCACACAGCACCAAATATAAAAATATACCTCTGTGTGCCACATGCACAGGCATACACCTGCACATGTGTGATCAGCCACCATGCATAGCCCCAAATATAAAAACAGAATTGAGTAATCACTGAGAATTTAGAGTAAGTTTCTGTTGTACTCAAGTTTAACATCCAGAAATAAATTTAGTAGATGGAAATAATATACTTTCTCCCATTTATAACAAATTTCACACAGAAAAATCTGCATATGAACTTCTTTCTTACATAAACCATCTCTTTTACACTCAAGGTGACTGAGGCCAGAGCTAGAATGTGAGCTACATCTTTCACTGATTCTAAATCTGCCTTTCCCTTCCAGATAACTCCTCTCTCCCTTGCCATGCCACTTTGAACAGTACATTTAATTTCCTAATATACTCTTTTCTCTTCCGAACACTTCCTTTGCTAACAATTAACAGAGTATATATCAAGAGAGCTGTTTGTGTTGCCCTTGGTGTTGGGCACAGTTTTCCTCTCTGTTGTGCTGTTTAAGTAACAGTTCTGACTTCCATTGTCAATGCAGCATTGCATGCCCCTTCAAATTCTATTTCTCCCACTTATAACTTACTAAGGTAATTGAATTTTTTAAAATCTTATTTCAACTATAGCATAAATTTGGCTTCTTAAAGACTGTAACTGCCTGAGTGGTTTTAGAGGGTGTTAGGTTATTGCAGTGACACATGCCCTTGGGAGGAGATGGCCTGAGGTGAATGGCGGGGAGTAGCTGTTTCCATGAACAGCTAAATGTGTTTATTCCAAGTGCACAACTTCCAGAACCTCTCTCCAGCACCTCCTGATAGTAAGAGGCATTGGACACAGAAGAGGGACTCAAAGCAGAAGGCCTAGAGTGTGATTCTCAGGAACCTGGGCAACTTCAATGGCAAAATTCCCATGCTGTGCAAATGATTGCACAGGATGAGAATAGCTCTGTGCTGCCGCCTGCAGCCTGATGAATTCCCTTTCCTCTCAGAGAATTTCATGAGAGAAAAACCAGAATTCCTAGCATTAATGTTGAAAAGAATTTCAGCCATTATTAAAATCAGTAATATGTATCATACTGTGATAATCAGAAAAAATGTATCAAGAAGGTATAAATGAGCTACTTTATGATCAAAATATGCCATTTCTTGGCATCTATTTATATCTTACTACAAAGATACCTGCCCACCCTATTAATTGCTATTCTATTCACAAAAACCAGCAAGTGGATTCAGCCAAGATATCCATCAACAATATTTGCAATATACATATTAAGCATGAGTGTTAAGCTCAGAAAATGCAAGATTCACTAAAGTTTCAAGATGGGGGCCTCAGAGGAAAATCTCACTTCCATCTCCTTATAATAACTACGTTTAGGAATATGAAGGCTCTCA